ATTTGAAAAAGAACCTGCAAGTTTTAGTATAAGAAATGTGGAATTAAAATTTAGTAAATTAGTTTGATCTGGATAAATCTTGTAATGTAAAATAATTCGTGACAATTGCATTGAATTATTCGAAAAATGTTTTTAGGCCCATACAATTTTTTAAACTAATCTAAATTTAAAATTATTTTATTTTGCAGATCCTGAAAAGTATTGGATAAACCGCCCTTCTACAGGTATGCTTTTCTTTTTTAAACTTATAATATTTCAGTTTTAAATATTTGAGGAGAGAAGTGAGATTATACTAACTGATCACATCATTATTTGATTAAAATTTTCATTCACTTCAAAACTATATAAATAGGAAATAACAGTTGACATGTTTTAAGCTCTCAAAAACAGGCGTCCATTTTCAGGACTTGCAAAACGTGAATGAGAAGAAACAGAAGTGATTTGAAATATAAAACTTAAAGTTGCCAACAAAAAATGAAAAAATAAAGGTGAGAAAGCTTGAGTGTGACTATGGTTTTTCTAGTTTCATTTTTCTATTTTTTTTGTAGGCAACTTTAAGTTTTATATTTCAAATCACTTTTTTTTTCTTCTCATTCCCGTCTGATAAATCTTGAAAATTGGCTCCGATTTTTGAGTGCTTAGAACATGTCACGGTTATTTCCTATTTACATATTTGTGAAGCAAATGAAGTTTTTAATTAAGTAACATCTTACCGCTTTGGCATTATTTATTTAATGATTACAATCATTATTCTCTACACTTAACGAATTTAAAACTTCATGTTTCAAAAAAAAAAAAAAAAAAAGCCNAAAAAAAAAAAAAAAAAAAAAAAAAAAAAAAAAAAAAGGTAGCAATAACTGTAGTAAATGTGAAAGTTAACTTATAGTAGTAACAATGTTAGTAAATAAATTAGGTATAATAGTTTATGATACAATAGATCATAATGGTTTTTCAAAAAAATATTTTTCATTGTTAAATAATATCCCCCTCCCCTGAGAATTGAAGAAAATTTTTAACATTCAGAAATAAATTGATAATTTTAAAAAACTAAAATAATATTGTTGAAGCAATAGTATTAAAAAACGCTGAAATAAGCCTATCACAGAAACAATTAGCAATAATTTAACTTAGAAATATTAATTGTTTTCTTGATGTAGTTTGTAGTTCATTAGTAATTATAGTTGTGTTAATGTTTTGTTTCTTTCTTTCTTAGACTGTGGTGGTTTTGTGGAAGATTTTGGTGGAGCAATAACTATGATGAATATGGTTCCTAGTAATACAATCAGAGCCTTTGATTGTATATGGTTGATCAGGCCTCGCAATTCACACGTGCCAGATACACAAGTTGCAATAAGGGTTGCTCAATTTGAAGAAATGGGTAAGCTCATTTTAACATCTTTACAATTTTTATTCAGTCATAATCGGATACATCATCACAATAGTAACTCTTGTCTGTAATCATTGATTTGTTCAAGATGTAATTTCGTTTTTTTTTATTCAAAAGAAAACTGCATTGTTAAACTCCGCACTTAAATCGTATAATCGTTATGTATTTTGAAAGCTGATATAGACAGGCTTACTTGTGAAAAAGTTCGACTGATTTTACACAGTAATTTTTGGTTGGGAAAAAGTTATCCATTTTTCGAAACGCATCATCCCTGGAGACTAGAAATGGCATATCTACATTATTAGTTAAAACTTTTTAGATTGTAATACCCTTACTTCAAATAAAGTCAAAATTATCTGGATCAGTTTTTTTTTACAACAAAGAAGAGAAATTTTATGAGCTAGAAATCCTACTGCCAGCAAAAGGTATTGATGATCGAAATGAGCTACAGAATTCTCTACCTATGGTAACACTTCACACACTTTCACCATTAGCGTGTGGACAGTCATAGGAGAAGGAAGCACGTTAGTTGCAGTCTTGATTTTCAAATAGATTAAAAACTTTTAATTTAAGAAACTGCATGGAATTAAAAACTACATTAAGCATAGTTCTTAAAGAAAGCACCGTAGAAATTTTAGATAATATTTTTGACAATTAAATGCGAAAAATGTTATGAAAGGGGAAAATATCATAGTACATTGTCATACAACTGATGGTATGGTCAAACCATGCATGGAACCGGACTTCTTTCCAGATGGCGTATTCGAGCGTTGCGATCTCGAATGACAGAAAGGACAATGTATATTTCAATAGAATATTTATTGACTATAAAAAAATGTATTTCATTTTAATGAAGAAAAAACGTAATTGCTTTCCGAACAACCCAATATATTTCTAAAACAGTGAAAATCAACGCATGGTTGGGAAGAATAGTTCGAAGGCTGAGTGATTATGGATGGTGTTTTCTACACTAGGGAACGCTGCAAACTCAGTACCGCCTAAATTTCCGGGTTACTGTTTCCGTTGTATTTTAAAGCCTTTTGGCATCATTGTGTTTTGAGATTCTTGCAAACAATGTATTTGATTACTTATTACTTGTGTTTACAATGCTTAAGTGTTAACACTAACGTAAGATGGTGCACAGCTTGCAACAAGAACAAACAGTAATAAACTTATGGAAAGAGGTCATATCAAGAATGCCAAAAAAGCGAGTTATTCAAAATCTAGCAACCATGTCACCTTTTTTAACAATATATCTCTAAATAACTGAAACAAAATTTCACTTCAAACTCTCCAGAATTACATAATAACATTAATATCTTATGAAATAGGGCAGATTTGAGCTCAGAAATTATCTAATTTTTTTCTTTTATTGAAAACAAAATTATCCGTTTGAAAATATCGCCTAGCAGAATAACATGTAGTAAGCAGCTACGAACTTTCTAACCGGAACAAGAGCAGGCATACAGCTCGAGATTGTTTTTGTTTACATTTCCACTGAAAACACCATCCATTACCATCTTCTATTCTGAAATGTCAATTGTTGTAATGCAGTGTGCGCATGCGCCAATCATCATGCTTTGGATCATCGTTAAAGATGAATTCCTAACCATCGCCTATAATCTATTTGTGTAGCTCTAGTGCAACCTTAACAATCATGCAAAATAACATTGATATTTTATATTTCAGGTCCGAAATCAGCCTTAACTATTCGTCAAGGTCAACATTCTGATGCTCCTGTACTGGAGTCTGTGACGACATATCAACATCATAAAATGCCTCGCGGTCAAGAGTTCGTTGTACCAGCTACCAGTGGATTTTACATACGTTTAGTTGGATATTTTACAAATAAATCTCATTTGGCCATCATTTACACAACCTTTAGATATGAAGGTAATTTCTTTTCTATCACGTAGCAGCAAAACTTTGTTTAAACTGTCAGTTCTACAGACATTAAGTAGCATTTCTACTACTTACATTATTTTCGTTCTGCACAACAAACCAGTTCTTAGAAATGTTAATAAAAAAATGGTATTTTGGTGAGAAACCTTATTCCAAATTCGTCCATTTTCAAAAGTGTTTTCTTCTTTTTCTTGAACAAATAAGTTAAAACATTAAGAAAAAGCCTTGAATTTTGCGAAACTAAATACACATGCTACAAACTTAAACTCCTTTTACGGTGGTATGAGTAATTTTTTCTCGAAATTTCAGCACTTAATGTATTATTAATGTACAGTGCGCAGAAAAATGGCCTACTTAGAACAAATTTAGATCTCATGGTCGAATCTTGACGTTCTAGGAATCAATGCTTCGAAGGGGTAACCTTAAACATGCTACTTAATTAGTGCAGTCGATTTTTTTAAGTTACGAAATCAAACACAAATACGTACTTTCTCTGAATAAACACATGTTTTCTTTCTCCGGATTTGGATTTTTGACCCTCGAAATATAGGAGGTAGGCGAAATCTGGGAAATATGGTTCCAATAGCTTGGACAGGAGAGCAGTTCAAATTTTGGACCTCTAATTGTTAATTTTATTTTTTACGCATTTCTCCATATCTCGCAAACTTTTAAATCGAATTTAAAAATTTCTGTACACTAATGTAAAATTGGTTTATCCAAAAATAATTCCATGCAAAAAATAACTTTTTGTAAATATTTATTATTTTAATTTTATTTAATAATAGTCAAAGAAATTTCGAACTGTAAGGTATACAATTTTTCACGTCATTTTAAAGAATTAATTTTACATAGCAAAATACAAAATTTGAGCGAAATCGATCGAATAGTCCCCGAGGAAATCGAAAGTTAAAAAAGTCGTACAGCTTCTTTTTTACCAACTTTACTTTCTGTTGCAGTACAAATTTTTACAATAAAATAGTAGAATATTAAACCAAAAACCACTTCTGTTTTCGAACATTTTAAAGTTAGATCGATGAAAAAAAATTGTAATGTAAGATTCAAAGCTGGTGGCTTTTATTTAGATGACGAACTTTAAATTTGCTTGGAAGTGTAATTTCTCTAACACGAAATTATTTTCATGTCCCGACAGGTTGCTATGCAACGTCTGATTTTGAATGTGATAATGGAAGATGTGTTAAGACTGTCCTGAGGTGTGATGGATTTAACCATTGTGGCGATGGATCAGATGAAGCTTCTTGCTATGGTATGTACTGCATGTTAATTATGTTACTGCTAAAAGTGCAAAAATCAGTTAATCTGCAGATTGTCTAGTACAGATTAACTAAGATGATCCGTTAAAGTACAAAAACAATAGTTTCATTTCTCAAATTACCAAGGTAATCTGGAGATTACCCAGATAATCAGCATATTACCTATTAGGCACTTGTTAAAGTGAAAATAAAATCTTTGCTGGAACAACAGAATCATTTCTGTCTGTTTAAATTAACACGTTATTTATTTTTAGTCAAAAATCAGTTGCTCTGCAGATTAACTAAGTTGATCCGTTAGAGTGTTAAAGTATATCATTTCTCAAATTACCTGGGTAATCCGTAAACAACCCAGATATTTAGCATATTTCCTGATAGGCACTTTTAAAATGAAAATAAGATCCATGCTGGAACAACAGAATCATTTCTGTCTGTTTAAATTAACATAATGTTATTTATTTTTAGTCACAAATCAGTTGCTCTGCAGATTATCTAGGGTAGATTAACTAGGGTGATCCGTTAGAGTGCTAAATTATATCATTTCTCAAATTACCTGGGTAATCTGTAAACTACCGAGATATTTAGCATATTACCTATTAGGCACTCGTCAGAGTGAAATTATGATTTTTACTGGAACAACAGAAATGTTTCTGTACGCTTAAATTAATATGTCATTTACTTTTAGCCACCTAAAAAATTAAGTTACTACAATTACACAATCGTTACATGATATAATCAATCCCCTGTCGCTTTAAAAATCATAATACAAGGAACAAAATGGTTTAAAATATTATAACAATTAAAAAAATTAATTTATTTTTTCAAAATCTAAAAGAATCAAGTAAAAAAAATCAAATTAGTTGATGGATATGGAAACAAGGTTTTGAATTTTAATACAGAAACCGTTAATGCAAACTTTACCTAGATAATGTGCGGAAAACACTTCCTTCCGCACTTTAAGGGATAACCCTAGTTAATCTACAAATTAGTTAAGTTATTTGCAGATTAACTGCTTTTGAACTTTAGCAGTAACAGTTAGATAAATAACACGGCTATTTTAATCATTTTGAAAAATATACTAATTATTTAGTTAAATGATACTAATTTTCAATTTTTTTTTCTACATAACGATTTTCAATATTAATGAAATTAATACACCGGCGCTTAAACCTACCTTATGCACCTGTTACAAATTAGTTTAATCAAAAATTGTTGGTTTCATAGATTATTACAAAAAAGTAATTATTGCAATGGTTTCTTAAATATTTCTTTACAAAAAGTCAATGAACTTCCAACAAAAACAGTGAAATTTCCTTTGCACAGTGAAAATAAATAACGGATCATCATAAATAATTTGTGATCTAATGTTCGGTTCTCCACGTTCTAGGACACATTCTTAATGGTTCGAGGAGGTGACCTCAAATATACTAATTAATTAGTGCAGACGATATTTTAAGCTACGAAATCAGACACAAAAGCATACTTTCTCTGTATAAACATCCTTTTTTTATTTGGATTTCAGACCCCCAAAATAGAGAGTGCAGCCGCAATCTGGGAAATATGGTCCGAATAGTTTGTTCAAGAGATCGGTTCAAAGTTTGGACCCCTTAACGTTAAATTTACCGTTTGTGTATTTTGCTATATCTCGAGAAATTTTTAAGCGAAATAAAAACATTTTGCACGCAAGTATAAAATTCATTTATCCATAGATAATTTTATGCAAAAAATAATTTTTAATAAATATTTATTAATTTTTGTTATTTTATTTATTTTTTATTAAATATTGATTAGTCGAAAAATTTTGAATTCTAAAGTATTTAATTTTTTACATCATTTTAAAGAACATAATTTTACATGGCAAAATACAAAATTTAAGTGAAATCAATCGAATAGTTTCTGAGAAATCAAACTTCAAAAAATCGATTTCACAGGAACTATTTGACGGATTTCGTTCAAATTTTGTATTTTGCCATCAAAAATTATATTCTTTAAATGATGTAAAAATTGCAAACCTTACTATCTAAAATTTTTTCGACTAATATTAAATTAAATAATAAATATTTATTAAAAGTTATTTTTTGCATGTAATTAATTGTCTTTGGATAAATGAATTTTACAATTGTGTGGAAAAAGTTTTCAATTCGCTTAAAAAATTTTCAAGATATGGCAAAATACGCAAAATGTAAAGTTAACATTAAGGGGTCCAAACTTTGGACCGCTCTCCTGACAAAACTATTAGGACCATATATCCCTTATATTTTGCGGGTCAGAAATCTAATATCGTCGAAATAAAGGTATGTTTTTTCTGAAAAAATACGTTTTTGTGTTTGTGTTTCGTAGCTTAAAATATCGTCAGTACTAATCAATTACCATATTTGAGGCCACCCCCTCAAACCATTAAGAATGAGTCCTAGAACGCAAAGATCCGATCATTAAATCAAAAGTTATTAAAGGTGGTCCGTTTTTTGCTCACGTTGGTTAGTTAAAGGCCATTTTTTTAAAATTTGTCAAAGTTATGCTTTAGGCTGAGCTCAAATTTCACTTACCATATTTAAATATAAAGTTAATGAAAAGTATTTTATTAAATATTTTTTTAGTTCTAAATATATTCGATTTGAGATATTACTGGTAAAACCTCTGAGACGGTTTGAAATTATGGAGCCTTAACCTCCATTACCCTCTTGGACAACAACTGGCTGTAGCGGCAATGCTCTACTTTACTTTGCATAAAAACAATAAATTTTCTATCTGGATTTTAACATTAAAGATTTTAATTCCTCAGCCTAAAACTAAAATTTTAACTAAACTATTTTTTTTGATGCTTAGTATACAGTTTAATTTTAGTTATTTATTTATTTTGGTAACCATAGGTACCAACGTGGGTACAGCCGTACCAGAAGATGCAAACTGGTGGAGAACATTGACACCAAACTACTATTTTCCCAAATCTGATTCTGGATCAGGTGCTGGAACCAACACTCTGATACTTGTAACAAGTTTAGCTGGTCTAGGTATGTTTGTTCTAACAACGGTCATGATTCTTGTCAAGTTACATCGCCAAAGACATGACGACACCATTAGCAGAGAAATACTTCACACTATCAGTGCAGATTTAGGTAATCTATTTCAGTACTTGTATCTTTTTTTCTTTTTCTAATCAAAGATAAAGCATTTTTTTCTTTTCATAAAAATAAATTCATGCGAAGTGTATAATTGACGCATCACAAAAGTAGCATTATCCGTTCAGTACAGTATTGAAAGTTCAGTACATAGCATGAAATGAGTACTGGCGCTGAACTTGTAAACACCAGTATTTTATGTATAAGAATATTATTCACAGCTTATAGGAAAGATAAATTTCACTCTCTTTGAGACACTAAGCACATTTTCATTGGCTATTTTTTTGATCTTAGTAAATAACATGTAGATAGATATCTCTAGCTATTTTACTCCAGTTATTATTGATTGCCAATGAGGGGTATTTTTTTTCTTCTTATGACACCGAAAAATAGATTTTACTTTTTTATTAATTCTTAGCCTCTTGCCAGGTCATTTTAGAAGTTTGGGTTCGTTAGTGGAATCTTGAGAAAAAAATTTTGTTAAAAAGGACCATTCACAAAATATTTTATTAAAACAGACCCTTCATGTTTTTTTTTTCGGGGGGGGGGGGGGGNGGGGGGGGGGGGGGTAAAATGGAGTGAATGGCGTTCTTAATTCATTATTTTAAAACTTTATCCTCTTAAAATACAAGATTTTTGTGCATTTTTGCTAAGAACAGGATCTTATTATTACATAAACATTATCAGCAGATTTTTTTCACAATTTTACAAAAATTATCAGTAGATTTTTCCCCCACAAATTTTATAAAAATGGACCTTTTACTAAGTCTTGAATAACCCCCATAATTTCTTTTAATTTTATAACCAGAGTTAAGCAGTTGACTGAATTCAGAGTTTGATCTATCAATAATCAACTCCATAGCCTTGTAATTTTGAATCCAACCTAGAAGACAAGGGAACTTCTGGACCAAGCTAGTCTTCGTGGATGTCTTTTTAATAAAACTAACCCACATTTTTCTTACAAGAGGAAAATCACGAAAACCTCTCATGGTTAGCTGACAGAATAAGAATTCTAACCTATGATCAGTCTACCACTGAGGATATTTTAAGTCAGTACTAGGGTCAGTGCGAGACAGGAGCAGAATTCGAATCAACCAGCCACCGCTAGGATTCGAACCTAAGTCATCTCATTGTAAGGCGAACGCTTCTATCCCCTGAACTACCATGGCTCCCCTGTAAATAATGGGGTTAGGGTTAGAACGTTAGTTTAAAAAGCAATATTTTTTAACTTTTCAGTTTCTGTAATCTCTTTATTGTTCTGAATATATCTTTATATTTATTTAATACCCTAATATTTTTTTCTAAACATGAATTTATTAATTTCAGATATGGAAAATTCTCCTGGTCACCAACATGGATCAGATCCTCCTCATTATGATCCTCCCCCATCATATGAAGATGTTATTAAACTCTACCTACCTCCTCCACCTCCTTACAGTAGCATCAATCGTGGTCGGACCAGAGCTAATCGAACTCGCGGAACAGGTGTAGAAAACAGAGCATATAGAAATGATAGCCCAAATGGGGTGCGAGTTCATACTAGGAGACAGCGTTCTAGAGTTGTCCCTACAGATAACAACTTACCACTCATATTAAAGGTGGCATTACCTGAAGAACATATACCAAGTCCACCTCCTCCAATCCGGGAACGGATTAGTGACAATATTGTGGGAACGGCTTCCTCATCACAGGATGCACCGCCATACACAGTGGAAGATGTCCAAAGATCGTTTGAGTTCCTTGATTCACATTTAGAAGCTGGACAAAGCGGTGAAGGAAATCTGAACCAGTCAAATTCTAGTCCATCAACACAAGAGGATATCAGGATGAAACCTCGCGTTGATACAATAGTTTCCTGCGATTGTGAAGGAGCTTGTTCCTGTCAATTGATAAGCAATCAAAAGCAAGTAACTCGATGCAGCAGTGAAAGTAAAGCTGCAGGTGGAAATAATACTAAATTAGACAAGGCTTCTGTTTCTAAAAAGAGAAGCTTTAAAGACTTAATGCAGAAAGGCATAAGTAGATCTTCACAAAGTGCAATAATACCACACCCAGCTTCGATGACTATAACAATACATCCACCCAAATCAAAGAATCCAGCCAAAGGTGAAAGATTTGAGAAATCAAGAAGTGCAGGACCTTCTTCTCCGATTGAAACAAGTCCGCCAGATTATGATACAGATATAGATCTCATCACCACGACCAATGTCCTCAAGAGGGTATGTTCTGGTCCGTCAGATATCAGTACGTCCTTAAACTTCATTGCCGAATATCCGCCGAAAGTAAATGCTATGGAATCCCAAAAATCTGTTTCAGAGAATCAGATTACAGGAGAAAAACCATCCATTAGTCAGGTGAAACATTTAGCGTCTGTTATTCTTGATGGACTTCAACAGTCATTCAGTTCTAAAAGTGAGGAGACTGCACCTGCTCAGTCGACAAGTCAAAAAGATGATGACAAATCTATAGTGCCAGTAAATTGGACTAATTTGTTGATTCCTACTCGTAAACGAGCTTTAGAGCCAGTTGCTGGTTCGGAAAATGTCAAAAATGAAAAGTCTTGGACGGCCAGTGCAGACACACTTCCTTTACTGACAAGCGGATCTCAACAGCCGGCAATTTTGAAATTTGACGGAAGTAAACTATCGCAAAGTCTGACAAGTGATATTGAAAAAGTATCGAATGATTAAGTTAATTTAGACTCCATTTGTTGTGCAGTTTAATCAAGTTATTGTTTAAATAAATGTTTTACTGCAACCCAAAAATTCTGACCTTAATGGTCATAATAAGAGCTTCTTGTTGAATTTTTATTGGAAATATTTTGATTCCAAATCGTTAACTTTAAAAAAAGTAAATAATCCTGACCAAGATACGTTAGAATAAATTCCTCTTACAAATTATATTCATTAAATTTACAAACCAAACTTCTTTAAGAAGTGTATGTAAGACGGTAAATAAAAAAAGCAGTTTGTTTCAAGAGAGAAATGAAAACTGGGTATATCTGATACTACCACTTTTTTGCAAAATGTAATACCACAAATGTACCGTCAAGAAATAGTATGCTAAGTACACTTTCTGTACTCAGAGGAAGTTAAAGCATTTGTGTTGTTCATAAATATTTTATTAAAATTTGGTGCTTCAAGCACACAAATGGTGAATAACAGTAGTTTTGACCTCTCTGACCACAGAAGGCATACAACAGCATATTGTTACTTGGTGGTATAGGTGGGTCCATAGCATCTCAAAATTGACTAGGTACACAATGAGTACTCCTCTTATTTCTCTACAATTATACTCACGGTGAAGTTAGATACACTCTACCTTTGTTTCTTTCTGGTAAAACGAAAATCTGCTTGTACTTTTTACGTAAGAAATTACATGAATTTTCAAAATGAAATCAAACCAATTTATACTGTAATAATACACTTTGTTTCATGCTATAAGTATTAAGCTTAGAAACATATCATAACTATTTAAGTTGGGAAATCTGTAAAGATATGCATATTTGATGTGCCATTTATTCTAGTTATTTGTTTACATTTTAAAGAACTTTAATAAGATATAAATATTTCATTTGAGTTACTGAAAAAATAAAAGATTTATGTATGGAATTTGAAACTCACCAGTCATGATTTGACTAATCCATATCTTTGGACAGATTAAAAAAAAATGTACTTCCATTATACATGTACATATCTATTCTTCAGATCATGTTGACTATTTTGTGATAATATGTAAACTATATGTTGTAATTAGTTACTACTTGTTTTGTTTCATTTAATTAGTTAAATTTGAGAATAAATAATATGATTGTATTTTGTTGCAGTTTTTACTATTGTCATAACTGTCCACTTGTACAAACATTAATTTATATTTTACAAAGTTGTAGTAATATAATTATTATATAAATTTTAAAAAATGTTTCTAAAAATGAAACAAATTTTCCAACATTTAAAAGCCTGTTCTATAACTCAGTGTCATAATCAAATAGTTATGACACAGAGGACGCATGTGAATGATTTTTTCACTAGAATTATTGGCAGCCTGGAATGTGGAAGTATTAGAGGAACATGGAATTACCCAAATTGTTATCTAGACTTCGGTAATGGTTCCAAGATGATGGAAATAACAATAGACGTAACAGTATAGATCGCTCTCTGAATTACAACAGCGAATGAAGACCAGTATTTGGTAGTAACTGCCAATCGAAGCAGACAGAGCACAGCATTTGACCTATCCTGGCAGCCATTTTCCACAACACACGTGTTACAGTTTCAAGGTAAACCGTGCACAGACGCTAGAGAAATATTGGTCTATATGCTCACAGACCTATCAGATGTGTTCCATCTACCCCAACTCAGTGTCATCAACGATTAGCCTGGCGTAGAAAACATGCAACATGGACGTGACAATGGGGCGTGCGTGATGTTTTCCAACGAGTCAAAGTTTAGCTTGCAGTCTGATTCTTGCAACACTTTTATATGGAGAATGCCAGGTACCCGTTACAACCAAGACAACATTAGTTAGAATTAAACTGGGTTCCAGAACAAATCTGCATGTTCAAATCAGAACCATGATAGACCAAATTTCGCAGCTCTAGCCACTTAATTTTGCAGATAATCAGAGTTTTTCTATTTCAAAATAAACTTATGCCATAATCGCTCTATTAAAAAACGATAGAATAAATATAATGCCCCTATCAACAAAGCCACGTTTTCATACACTTAAATTTCAGACAAATTATTCTAATCAATAATTGTAAAATAGAAATGAAATCTGAATGTTCAATATCTAATAGTCATTTCGATAAAATTGTTCATAAAGAATAATTAGTCTTAAAATTGACATGTATGAAAATGTGGTACAGAATTTAAATGTTTATTTCTGTGTATGAATATATATATATATATTAGGAGCAAGGGGGCTAAGCCCCCCTATTCGTGACTGCTCACCAACCTTGATGATTGCTTCACAATAATTATTGCTTCTTGGTAGTATAAACATTTTTTTCTACAAAAGTTGAAGTTGAAACTATTCACAATAATATGTACTAAAAGGAATTCTTTTTGCAAACACTTACGATTCCAAACATTTTCCTTATGATTCTATTAAGATCTTTTCAAGAATATAAATAATTTTGCTTAGTAATAATTTTTTAAAAATAACAAATTTAGTAAAAATGAAAAATCGCAAGAACTAAACATCTCTAAAGTTACATCATACGCATAAACTGGCATAATTTAAAATAAGAACAATATTCTTTCTGGTATTTAAATTTGCCTTAAATGATGCATTTTTGTACAATACTTTACATGAAATTAACACAGGAATACTGATTTTTTAAAATTTATATAAGTTCTAGAGAAATAAATAACAATGCACTGGTAGCAATCTTGAATTAAAGATGACATTTTTATAAAACATCTCTCAATTTTAATAACTATGTACACTATATTTTTTTACAGATATAAAACATTTCAAAAATTCATTCAAATTCAAATCAGGTGTTAAACTGAGTAGCAATATATCCATTAGAATCTATAACATATTCAAATCCAGAAGACAAGTTTGGAGAGTGAATATTTACTTTTGCTGGATACCTTGTACCACAAATGTCAACTTCAAAGTCACTTTTAAGGATGAAATCATTTGTAATTACTTGGGGTATGCCATTCTCATCAAGATTCTGAATGAAACCCAAACACACCTGCAAAAACATGCAGAAATATAGTTGTAGAAAACCCCTAATTATTTTGAGCTTTATTTTAAAAAGTACGAAAAGGGCTTTCAAAATTGCTTGAAACTTTTTAAATTTTTAAGCTATTCAAATCGAACTATTCTCATCAGTTGCCAAATACAATTCACTACAAATTTAAGAAAAAAAAATTTTTTTTTCATTGTTCTTTCATATGTGCAATTTAAAAGAACTACTTCAATTACTCATATCTTGAGCGGTTTTAAGCGAAATTTTCTCAAATTTTAAAGCAAAACTTTTGTAATTTTAAATTGCTTTAAAAAATGTTTTAATTTTATGGAATATTTTTAAAGTTATAGCAAAAAAACATAAGACAAAAAATTAGTTTTTTCATAAAAATGCACATTTTTCCATAAATATTTAAGCTAGGCTTACGAAATTTTAAGTAATTATTGCATTTAATAACCAAAATAACTGTCACAAGTTACAAGTCGATTGCCACATTTTTTAGCATAGGGTGCACAAAAACATTATATTCCGTTTGTAATTTATGGTCGATCCCTCAAACTTTATTGATATGTATGAGAAATCACATGACTTAAACACTTCTGAAGTTATAAAATAATTCATTAAGTATTTCTGTAGAAATATGAATTAGTATAGAAGAGTTTCCATTATTTTGTCCATCTTCTGTACATTTGCAATGAAGTAATTGTATTTAACTACAAAAAAATATAGCTTTTATGTATATTGGTATTGATTCAACACTCCACAATACATTCATTGTTTAAATTTTTACATAAAAGTCTTTTGAACATTAATTCAGTAGTGACAAAAATTTTTGACTCAAGAAAATTTGTATCAATTTCAAGCTTTTTTTTTTAAACTATTGGGAAGAGGACAATCTGTTACGGTTTTAGCTTTAAATTTGGAGATGTATTTTAATAGCAATAATTGAATAACATTAACTCCAGATAACAAAACATTCCTGCAATAGACTACTGACTTTTGCAAAGTTGGGATGTTATTGTAAAATTTTAATCAGGGGTGATTGTGAAAAACCCTAAAAATTTTATGTGCAAAAAATTGATATCAAGATATCAATTTATATACCATACATGTTTCGTATTTAACATAATTTTTTAAATAAAGTTTATAAATTAAATTACCGATCAATGATGAATATCACACTTTTATAGTAACTAATTTAAAAAAAATCTTAGTTCTGACAAGAATCGCAATGTTGGATTTTTGTAATAGCATGAATACAAATCGCTATGTACAATTTTTAAACCATGTGAATACAAATCGCAACTTGCAACTTAAATGAGGTAAATGCCAATATTGAGGCTTGATATTCAAACCGTGTGAATAGAAATCGTGATATTAGCGGATTCTGGGGCAGTTTCAAATATTCAAAAATCTGCCAAACTAAAAGAATCAATTGATGGATTTTTGCCTATTGGTAGAAGAATCACATGTATGTAAGCGTCTCGTTAGCGGGAATTAGTGAAACTTTCAAAATTTGAATTTTATAACAGGTAATTTTGTGAAAATTTCGTCATAAGTTTTTTATTAGCAAAAGTCCAAGAACCAATGGTCTTGAGAAACGAGAAATTTCGCAATATTCACAGAAAAATCATATGTCTTTCTTCTAATTTTTAGACCTGGATGGATAATACGAAAAACCCGGGATATCCCTGAAATACAATCACCCCTGTTTAATATTCTCCATCATTGTAAAAAAGCAATTTTACGATTTATCCATATTTTAACAAGAATTGACGAAAATTTCCCTTAAACAAAGCTAATTTGTTGAGATTAATAAAGGAAACATAAAAAAGCATGTTATTAATTCATAGTCTACAACTGGAAGAATAAGTAAAAGTTAATTATCTAGGGTAGGTTTTTTATGTTTAGCTTTTTCACATATGTATTGTAAAAGCTTAAACCTCAATTAAAATGTAAAATATTAGCTGCATTTTTTACTTTACAGAAGATGGTAGTAGTAGTACTTTATTTACGTCACACTAAAGCTACACAATGGGCTATTGGCAACGGTCTGAGTACCATCTTTGAAGATGATTCGAATGCATGCCATCACAATTTAGAATCTCTGCAGAGGGAATGGCTCCCCCAATTTGGCAGCTTGACAACTTACACGTAAAGTCAAGCACATTATAGTAGAATAGTTTAACGAGGACCAATACCCTATATCCTCAGTCCCTACGCAGGCTGATCAAACTGGTTACCCACCCACTCATTAGACCCAGTCAGTGAAGCTTGACTTCGGTGTTCTTCAGGAGATCAATCAGTTCACTGCTATAACACACGAACTTATAAAGTTTCAAATGATCACTATATCAACATATGATTTAACTTAAACGACAACAATACCTGTTTTTTTAGGGTAAAGCCATATCCTGTAGTAGTAGTCAAACCTGCACACTTCCCATTAACATAAATAGGTTCAGCACCCCATGGCCAAATATCTTCATCTACATCATAATCTTCAAGAACTAGCTGAATGTAACGTCTCTTAATACCTTCAGATTTTTGTTTGAGCAAAGCTTCTTTTCCCATAAAGTCACCTTTCTAGAAATAAAGAAATCTTTAGCTTTCTTAAAGGGATTTTCAAAAATGGTAATTTGTAGCAATATTAGTAAAAGCATAGTGAATTGAACAGAACATTGATTGGAATAAGCAAGAAAGGAACTGTCTTTGATGCCAATGATCATTCAGAAGCTTTTGGCAGGATCTATTATTATTCCCTATAGAGCATGAAATAAATGTAACTGCCAGAGCTGAAATTTAAATTTTTAACATGAAAGAAGTTTTACTTACTTTTTTAAATTTGGACACAAATCTTCAATTTTTAGAAATTAAAAACTAATTTGCTTGATAATTAAACTGAAAATGCTTCATTTTTTATAAACTCGGTTAATCTTAACACATTTTTATATTAAAACTTCTTTTTTTATGTTCAAAAAAATGTAACAAATGAAATATACAATGTTAATAATAAATTTTTTTCAATTATCTATAACAGCAAAAAAACTCAGTTAATAGAGAAAATTTTGCATTTCCACAGCTATCGGAGGTTAGGATTTTTTTTATCGGAAAACAATTGATATTTACTTCGAAATTGACTCGGTATACTCGTCCACATTCAAAAGGGGTAGTTGTAGTGTCAAGATCTTGACCCCAGAATGCAAAGAATTTTTCTATCCGAAGACATCTAGATGCGTAATAACCAACATGCTGAATACCATATTTTTCACCTTTTTCCATCAGTTCATCATATATATGAAGAGCATACTGAAAAAAAAAATGAAATTGAACACATTTCTTCATTTTGGATTTTAATGAAAAACATCTATTAAAACATTATCTGACATCTTTTAAGAGAAAAAAAAAAATTATTACAGTTTTTACCAAAAGATATTAAAACTTAAACCGTATTTCATTTTTACGCATAAATATATGCACAAAGTTTACCACATGAAGCTAAAATGGAAATTAAGAATATTTTATCAAAAAAAAAATGTTCTCACTAGCATAAAGATTCAAGTAAGCTAAAATATTCAATAAGAGAATTCACTTCATAACATACAAATGAAATTAAAACCTTTTTCTTCAAAACATTAGACAGGTAGGTAGGTACTTTATTTACGTCACTCTAGAGTTGCACAATGAGCTATTGGCGACTGTCTGGGAAACATCCCTGAGGATGAACCGAAGGCATGCCATTGCAATTTTGATCCTCTGCAGAGGGAATGACACCCCCGCTTCAGCAGTACGACGACCTACACGCGAAGTCTAGCACTTTACGGTAGAACAGTTTAATGAGGACCGATACGTACACTCTCGGTCTCTATTCAGGCTGATCAAAGTGGTCACCAACTCACTGACCACAGCCAGTGATGCTTGACTTCTGTGTTCTACTGCGAACCGTGTCTTTACGATCAGTCCACTACAGGACTCAAAATATTAGAATTTAAATAGGAATTATATAATTTCTACAGTTTTAACAACAAAATATCTTTGGCGAGTATGACCCCAAAAAAGATTTTTTGAAAAACTTATGAAAATATTTTAAATAAATTAAGAATGTTTAATCTTTTAGATGAACATCCATTATTTAAAGCCGACAAGATATTGTTTTATAATATAAGTACTTTCCAATAAACTGTGATACACATTTAGCTAAAAAGGTTAAATTTAAAATTTAGCTAATGTAGCTAATAAACTATTAAAAATGATTAAAGCTGAAATATTTAATTAAATAAAAAATTGAGTATAAACTCTTAAAAAGGGTGTTAAAAATGAAACTTAAAAAATCTTGATTGATTTTTTTCAAGTACATAAAAACCATTTAGGGAATAAATTTTGAACTAAACTCTGATACATAAAAGACTATTTAGTAGATAATATATGAATGATCATATTATTTGCACTTCTCTCCTTGTTTCCGACTATTTACTCGTCAACGGTTTTATGGACCTGGTCTGACGCCGTCAGACTTTTGGAGATAAGAAACAACAACAGGATCATATTTCGAAAACTGCTTTCAGTAATATTTTTATGGCAAAGTGAGAAAAAAGAGAGATTTTTTTAAAAAATTATAAATTTTTTCTAATTAGAATTATTGAATGAATAAAAATTATTTGCTGTTTTAAGGATATTAGATAGTAGTTGGATTATTTTAAGAAATATAATTTATACATTTATATTAGGTTGCATTTAAAAATTGACTATCAAGTTACAGAAAAAAGATGGTTCTACTAGGTATATGATCAAGTGATGAAAATCACGATTAAAATTACCTATTTTAATAATTTGGATACATTTCCTTAACACAAAGTGATTACAACTTACTTGTCATGATGAAATATGCATAACATATTTCTTATAATTTTAAAACTAAATTATTATCGTATTTAAACTGTAAATAAAAATCATTAATATGATTGGTTATCTTTTAATTTAATACAACAGCTTTAAATTTTAGGGCTTGGCCAAGCAGCCACACCATCTAAGCCACTTTCAATTTTTTTTAATATTTAATAATTCATACATACATAAAAATGAAGACTATACTTTACTTTAGAGCTCCATATATAATAAAAAAATAAACATTTTTATGATTAATCATAATTTGATTCTTCATTTATGCAGTTTATGATGCTTAATAATTGCTGGTTTGCATCACTCTGGAAGAAAATAATGAACAATTGGAAATGCATAAATTACCCAATTTCTTCAACAAATAGTAATTCCAACATCAAAACATATTTTCATTACATTAGTATTAAAAATATAGATTTTAAGGATGAAATTAAACTTTTTAGAAGGAGGTGCATTTTTTAATAATAAAATTAAATATTATATGAAGTATTTGAACAAAGCAATTTTTAGTATATAATTCAAATAAAAAATAAATGCAATAAAAAGTTTTTACTATAAATAAAAAAAATAATAGTATTCAATAAATATAAAACTGCATGACATAAGTTTCTATATTTTAATACTAGTATAAAGTCATTAAAGTCTTACTTCATTTGGTATATAAAGAACATAGCCTAACTCTCCGGTATGGGTTTGATGAAACACTTTGATATTATTTGCAAGACCTATATTCATTTCCTATTTTAAAAAAAAGAGGAAATTGTGAATTATGATAATTAAAATAATTAGCACAAAATTAAACTTTTAACTTTAACAGTGCGCAAAAAAAAAGCAAAGAACTCCTAAATAACTTTTAATCTAATAATCGAATCTTCACATTCTAGGGTATGGAATTATCCCTGGATAAACGAATTTTATAATTGTGAGCAAATTTTTTTTTAATTTACTTAAAAAGGTTGAGAGATATGGTCAAATACGCAAAGAGTCAAATTAACATTAAGGGGTCCACACTTCGGTCTGCTCACCTAACCAAACTATTTAACCATATTTCTCAGATCGAGACAACTCCCTTTTTTCAGGGGGAGGGGGTTGAGAAATCTGAATCTCTCGAAAAAATGGTGTGTTTATCCAGAGAAAGTATGTTTTTGTGTCTCATTTCGTAGCTTAAAATATCGTCTGCTCTAATTAATTAGCATATTTGAGGTCAGCCCCTCGAACCATTAAGATAGAGTCCTAGAACGTGAAGATCCGATCATTAGAACAAAAGTTATTCAATGTGGACTGCTTTTTATTTTGCACGCTGTGCGTCAAATGTATAAGAATAATAGGCTTTTGCACACTATGCACCATTAGAAAAAGGTTATAAAAAATATAAAAATTATTAAAACAATAATAACAATACAATAGGCATGGCATAACAATACCATAAGACAATTATAACAATACACCCGAAACAAGGCAATAATACTATTATTGTCTTGTTCTGATTAAATTGACACAACTTAGTGTTCTTACAGTGTTCCACCAAAAAAATAAACCCTGAACTTTTCAAGGTTTGGTTTACCAAGAAAATTTTAACAAAACTCTGAGTCATATGTTTTCATAGCAGCAATTTTTCATTTTAGAAAAACTCATTTATAGAAAACAAAGAAAAAAAACTTGAAGCAGAAAATGGTTAAAGTTTTTTTTTTCTTGTACATTTATATGAAGTTATACTCTTGTTTGATTCAAATCAAAATAATTTTAACTACATTGCAGCGAAGTTTTAATAAGAAATAATTGTAATAAAAGTCTTACTCAGTTGTTTTGAACCACACTAGCTCCTTATTGTGGACAATTCTAAGAGATTGGTTGTTTAATATTGTATGGGAAATGATTTTCCAAACATTTTTAGATTTTCAAAAATGGAATATATCTCTACTCTTTTAGCCAAAATCAAAAATTTTTACAATTTCAAGATGTCTATGGTATACTTGATGGATTTTAATACAAGAAACATAATTAAAATTTGAAGAAAAAAAAACCAGCATTTTTTATTATTTTTGAGTTTGGCAAAAACGACTTTTTTTCAATACATACATTATTGGAAAATGCAAGATATATGATTGAAAAAATTACAGATCCTAATGTTCAAAAAATAAAACAAATACTTAACATGTACTCCTTTTTTTTGCATTTAATATTATATTTTTGAAATTTAAATGGAAACTAACCTACAAACAACTAAAAATATATCAAATAATGTAATAGAAGTCATTATTTAAAATATATTTTTAGTGCAAAAATAATTATTTAAACAATACTTTTTAAAATTTGTATAATAGTTTTGAATTAGGAATTTAAAAAAAAAGAAAACGTAACTCAAGAATACTTCACCAGATTTAAAAATAAATTAAATGTCGAAGCAGTTGGAAAAAAACACACACACAAATAAATACAGATCAGTCTGAATACATACTGAATTTCAATAAATTGAACAAAGTCAAATTAGTGTGCATGGAACTGTAGATTTTTACCTTGCTGGTAAAAAAAGGGAAATCTTTATACGATACAGATGTGTCTGATACATCAGACATGACACTTTGAGCCAAAGGACCCATAATACAAATGGCTGTGTACAAAGATGTTATGTCGGTGATTAATATTGGGCTGTCAGGAGGAAGATTCCTCCTGAGCCAAGCTTGGCAGCGAGCTTGTTGAATAGTTGGGGAAATGATCATAAACCTACAGAAAAAAAGGAGTTTTGTTAAATTAAATATATCCCATTGAATATAAAATCAATTCAAATTTATGATTTAAGCAATTTTCAACTACAGTCAAACCCCACTAAAGTGAATCTTCAAGGGATCAAAATTTCGGTTCACTATAACCAGGAGTTCCCTACATCCGTTCCGCAAACAATTTTAACCAATGGTTCTAAACTTCAAATAGATTAGATGCCATCCATGCTTTACGATTTGCTTTATATGAAACCGGGATGTTCTTAACATTTTTGAAGCATTTCGAACTTTGAAATTTGCCAATTACCAAACGTTTGTGCTTCTCAGATCCATTCATATTAGTACATACCAGAACGGTGAGTCGCACTTTTGAAAGTTTACCACCAGAGCACTTTTCATTTTTAAATTTTAATGTTTGGTTTGGTGCCATCACCAACGTTGAATATGTATTTCTCTTCATAGTCACGGGAGATATCATTCCAAACATTTCTTTTCCAATCCTCAGCATCAGATAAGAAAACACTTCCCGAGTCTCCGACAATATTTCCTAAAATTTTTTTAATCTGCTTTTTAAATCTGTCTAACAAGCCATTTGAGCACACAAAAGTAGACTCATAAAATTGCTTAGCAAATTCATCGACTTGAAGCATTTGTCCAGACACTGGAAGATTGTGGCTTCTTTGAACCTCATTAGAAAGCGAAAGCTCCATTCTCGAGAGTTCCCTTAAATTAGGCTCAGAAATATTATTTTATCGTAATTTAATGATCAGGCGAGCTTATGCAGTTAGTCACCAAATCATTAAATTACAATAAAACAGTTAATACTGTACCTACTTGAAATCAGTTTTCGACAATAATTAATAGAAAACAAAAAATTACGAAAATTTAGATAAATAAAATAACCCAATGTTAAAAGGCACATGATGTAACAGTTCATAAGAGTAAAGCTCCATTAACGGCATACGATAACACTTCCAGTCTTAGTTTTCCAGGTAACTCCTAATCCTAATGATGTGCCCTACTTCTTTAGAAGTTCGTCGCAACATTTACGGGGAACCCTGTATAGAGTATTTTCGCTATATAGCAAAAATATTACAGAAAATAATGGATTTTTCACGAGAAAAATATTAAAAGTTAGAAGAAAGCGAAGCTTTTAAATAACTTAGAAACCAGAAAAAGTTCAAAATAACATAAAATATTCCCAGATAATTTTAACTTGGCAAGCACATTAAATTTTAAATAAGCAAGATAAAAAAAAATAAAAATAACGTCTACCTGTTGTAGTCCATTCGAGCAACACTGCAATCATTCTCATAGCCACCATACTTATTTTGCATTCCTGTATGAACCATGGCATTTTTAGGAATATCAATATTGTTAGAGCACAAGTATTGAAGAAAGTCGAGAGCTTCTCTGCCAGGAGACTAAAGGAAATAAATATCATTATTATTTCAATATTGCTATGATATTGTTATTCAGTTAGATTCTGATCCTGAAAAAAAATTAAATATTGTGTATTTTTTTTTCCTTGAAAAATCTAAAAACACTCAACATAGTGATTCTTAGAAACATATGTTTATTATTAAAAGATCTTTTGGATTTAAAATAACCAGGCTATTTATTTAAAATAACAATAGAAATTATTCTTTCATTATCAGACAGTTACCATAGCCATAATAAACACTCTTTTAATAAATTGAAAAGACCAATCGCATATATGGGACTCAACAATATTCTCTAATTCAATATTCTTTTAAAGAATAAACAAAATAATGATATAAAACTAGAAAATATTTGTCTTACAACACTAAATTTACTAAACTGATTTATCAATAACAATACTTATATTTTTAATTAAACTGTAGAAGAATATAAAATCAACTGACAAGTCATTCTTTGATTATTATTGAAATGAGGCAACAGTACCTTCGATTAAGTTTCTTTAAAACCAAGATTAAAATATTAAAAGATAATACAGCAACAGAGAAGTTCTAAAACCAATTCTAAGAATTAAGTTCAATAATTTGCAATCTATACATTAACAATAAATAAATACAGTCACATTTCAATCAATCTCAATTTACAGTGTATCTAGTTATTCTATTCATGGGAAATACAGGGGGTGGACAAAATAATGGAAACACTTCTATACTAATATATTTTCTCATCTTTCTCAAAAAATACTAAAAGAATAATTTTATATCTTCAGATATATTAAGATCATGCGGTTTCTCATGCATATCAATGAATATTAAAACTTTTCAAGGTTTGAGGGACCGATTATAAATTACAAAAGGTGAGTAATGTTTTTAAACACCCTAAACTAAAATATGTAGCAATAGATTTGTAATTGGTGACAGTTATTAGGTTATTATAGTGCACAAAATTTCATAAACCTAGCTTGAACATTTTTATAAAAAAATTATTATTTTTTTTTTTTTGTCTTACGTCTTTTGAAGTTAACTTTAAAAATATTTAATACAATTATAAAATTAAATAAAATTTTCAGAGAAATTTAAACTTAATTACAAATATTTTGCTTTAAAATTTGAAAAAAAAAATACTGAAAACTGTGCAGTATATAAGTAATTAAAGTAGTTCTTTTATACTGCACAAGAGTGGAAAAAAATTAATTTCTAAAATTTTTTTAAAAATAATTTTGTAGTGAATCCTACTTGGTAACTAATGAAAAAAAATCCGATTTAAATATCTCAAAAATTTCAAAAGTTTAAAGCAATTTTCTTCTAAATAGTTTTTGTACAAGTAAAACGAAAGCTCATAATGATAAAGAGATTTCTACAAACATCATTTTGTATCATAAGACAAAATTTTATAACAAATGACAATAAACATTCAACCTTACAATAAGCATTCATACACCAAAATGTGATTTAATAAGGAAAGAAAACAGGCAAAAGTAAAGATACTTTTATGAGGGATGATCCTCAACAAAGCTGCTGTCATTTTTAATAAATCTTGTTTAATAATATTAAAAAAATTCTGTGGAAAACCCTTTAACATTTTAAACTTTCTTTTAAAAAAAAAGTATAAAGACTGCTAAAATTGCTTGAAACTTTTTTAATTAAAATCGTCAAGTTGGACGTTGCCAAATATGATTCTCTAAAAATTAAGAAAAAATATTTCATATTTTTTTGGTGCATGTGCAGCATAAAAGAACTACTCTAATTACTCATATCTTGCGCAGTTTACACGAATTTTTCTCACATTTTAAAGCAATAATTTTGTAATTAATTTTAAATTGCTCCAAAAAATTTTTTTTAACTTTATTGAATAGTTTTTAAGTTATAACAAAAAAAATACAAGATTAAAATATTTGTTTTTTTATAAAAATGTCCATACCTACATAAATATTTAAGCTAGGATTGTGAAATTTTGTGCAGTTGTTGAATATAATAACCAAAATAACTGTGACAAGTTACAAATTTATTGCTACATTTTTTGTCATAGGGTGTTTAAAAACACTTTTTTTCTGCTGGAAATTTATTGTTCGTCCCTCAAACCTTTAAAAGTTTTAAACATTGATATATATGAGAAATCACATAAAATAAACATTCCTAAATTTATAAAATGATTCGCTAAGCATTTTTGGAGAAAGATAAAAAAATGTGTAAGCATAGAAGCGTTTCATTATTTCGTCCAATCCCTGTACAGCTTTGTTAAGCATTTTTTGGAGTTGAACATTTGATACAATAATATTTTTTAAAAACAATGGAATCTAACCTATAAACCTAAAAGTTTAATCTCTCGAAAATTTATATAGTTGAAAAAGTTCAAATGGTTACCAAGTAATAGATTAAAATTAAATTTTAAAAAATTCATGTGACTTTTTGTACAATTTTTCTTACAATTTCTACCATAAAATAAACTTTTGGGTAAAAAAAATTTTTTTTGCACTAGTAAAAAAATATATATATTTAACAATCAGATTACAATGACAAAACACTCAAAACAGGGTCAGGCTAATAAAGTGAGGTATTTGTGAGCAATAATCAGCATCTCTTAAATCCTTTATGTCTTGGTTTTGGCAAATAGAAATTTCATTCAAATACATCAAGACTTCAGTTTAAAAAAGATATTGCATAGAATGTAAAGGAATTGCATAGAATGTATTGGACAGAAAGTAAAAAGTGAAATTTTTGTAATCATTTAATGCATGCAAAAAAAATGCAAATAGAAAAACAAAGATAATGGTATGAAAAAATAGTAATATTTGCAAGAAAGAATTAAATGTACTTTGAGCATTCTGCCCAGGGATACTCTCTCCTCAAGGTGAGACAAACACAGAGAGAAAGAATTAAAAATGTTCCATTATTTATAGAAACTTACCCACACTTCTAATTTAGCAAAAGATGAGTAGTCTAACAAAGCTACCTTCCTTCGACAAGCCATGTACTCAGATTCCAGCAAATCAAACCAGGGAGGTTTAAAGAACGTATTAGGGCGCAACTGGATATCTGGTTCAGGAACATCCTTACCTAAATTATACGTGCACATAAAATTATTAAACTTCTGAAAGAAGATCAACACTCTTTAAAATGGCAATTTTTTTAAAAACATTAAAAATATTAAACGTTGAAAAAATTGTTGAGATCGATAATGTAAAGCACTTATATTGAAAATTTTCTCAAAATATGGCAAGCATTACAAAGTTTATATCTAAAATGAAAAATAATTTTAAGGAAAACATGTAAAATACAGTAACTTTCAGAATATTATAAAACATTAATTCCATGTTTATTAAAAGATATACAAATAAAATGCCCATGGAAGGCATTTTCAATAAAAAAAGAGAATTTTTCAATCCTTTTGTTACATTTAGCTGTCTTAAGGCCAATAACTACTGTTAATTTCGTCCTATATTACAAGAGAGCTTAAGCAAAATTTAGTTTCAGACATTACATTATCATTACTAAAAAAGAATCCACTATCCTAATATCTTTGTAGCCAAATTGCCAATAAAAAATATGTGTTACAAATGACAGCTATGATGTGATAATAGTTTAGGTAGGAAATGCTCAGTAATTAGTTACGGCATGGAGAAATTGAATTTAGAAAGAATAACTAAAACTAAACTCAGTAGCGCGACAGCCCTAGAGGGCCCAGGCCTACTGTGTCCATCTCAATTTTCTTGACCTTGGGCTCTGGGGTGCAAGAGCAGATTTTCCAGTCAGGTGGTCAGCCAAACGCGGAACCCCCAGTGTTTAGTTCCCAAGCATGCTTGGAAAGAATAACTAGTATATATATATATATGAATAGCCCAATAAATAAATACAAAAAGTATAAAAAGAAAAAAACGAAGAATATTAAGAAATTCAAAAAGTTTTACTTACTGTGCATAAGCTGAAAGTACATAGAACTCATAAAATAAGTTTTAAAAAAAGAGAAAACATGGAAAAAATTACAGAATAATGAAGAAAAAAAATTATTTAAAAAAAAATCCGGAAAAAAAGGATATAATTTCTTCATCAGCTCACACAATTATATCCGCATAAGGGAGTATAAATACTAAAAATGAGGACAAAATTATTTCATTTTTAACTGCCTCTGCAATTAAAACGAAGAAAGATTCAAAATATCTATAAAAAATGTTTTATAAGTTTAAAAAAGTCCTCCTTACACATTACCAATAATATCAGGATTGAAATAACATGGTCTTTCATATCCCATTGACTGACTAAAAACAGCTCCAGCAGCTTTCAAACGAGGATAAATAGGTGACATTCTTACATTTCGACCAGTTATATATTCAGAATGAGGATACTTCACTTTATAATGAACACCTATAAAAAGGAAAAAATATAATATATGTCAGGTTATTATTAGTTGAAGAATAAAGAGGTGAATGATAGGAAAGAGTATGAATCTACTTACGCATACATAGAACATACAAGAAAACAAAGAAACCTGTTTACAAAACATTTATTTTTCTACACAAAACTACTTTATTTAAAGTCTTAGTAAATGCATTAATATTTGATACTTTAAGCTGAACATAGATATTCGTTAAATTAGGACATTTATGAATGTCTTTATAACTTTTCTTCCTGCAAATTATTTAACTGTTAATAACATTATTATGAAAATAGTTATAAATAAATTATCTATCATAAAAAAAGAAAATTTGTGCGCCTATATGTCTCTTTTATAACTTCGGAACTGTTAGTGTTAAGATTCAGAAACTAGGGAGCCTCCTACCCTAAATATCTTTTTTTTATTGGTTTAGCATTACACATTAATAATTAAACAGTAGGCAATGTTTGTTTTTCAAAATATTTAAAAGATGTTTACTTGCTCACAACTCCATTTAATAAAAAAAGGTTTTTGAGTTTATTGTAGGCTCTTGTATAATCATTTATCTATCAATTAATGACAAGTAAGTATAAGCAAAATTAATGTAGTGTGGCAACATCAAAACTATTAAAAAATCCATAATTATTATTTTTATCATCACACTTTTGAAATGTGTTTTTATAAATCTAAATAACAGAAAATTAATGGCAACTGAAATTTAAAAAAAATATATAAGTTATGCACTGAATTAGAACAGCAAATGAATAAGAAAATTATTTGATTGTGGTAAATCTAGACTAACATGTGTTGGCTATCGTCAATAATCAATATTTCTTTTGCTGACGAATAATACTAAGCAAAGTTGATCTTTATTCTATTGAACTTAAAAAATACACTTTTCTGCATCTAATAACACAAAGTCCCCAAGAAGGGCAACAAATAATAATAAAAAGAAATTGGAATTCTTTCAACTGATTTAGTTACGAGGGTATATGGCTTTCAGTTTGTATATGCTTGTGTAGTGTTAATTAGTATCAAGTCATTTAACAATAACTAGGGCTGCAAGTTTGTCGCGGGAAAAAAGACCCCAAATTCGCGGGAAATTTTGAAAATTACACAAATTCTAAACATAAAAAAATTTATTATATAAATGATGCAGACAGAAATTGCGCAAATAATAAAAAAAGCTTAAAAATACACAACAAAAGTATTTCTTTGAATTTCAAGCAATATTAATATTTTTATTTAAATGAACAGAATTTTGGTACAAAGTATTGTACATTGTCAGATTATTCTCATTTATCCTTCGTCCTTCATCACTTAATACATTTTTATACTTAGAAAACGATCTTTCTGCATCAACGCCACTTTTGATAATTTTGGAGCGTTCGGTCTTTAATTTCCGAAACTCGATCAATTTTCCTTCACCAACGCGCAATTCCTTGACCGTTGCTTTGTAAGAAGTAATTGCTGTGAAAACTCAAACATTCTACATTCAAACTACTAGTTAGAAGACCCTACTAACTACTAGTCCCCCCCCTTTATCTAAGAAACTGATCCATATTTAAGAAATCACAAGAAGCTGCCTAGGAAAAATTAACTGGATATGTAGAAAGGCAGTAGAGATTTCATTGCCCAGTGCAATAGCATGTATAACAATTTTTCTGTCAAAGATTTGATTTATAATATTTTCCTTCCTTTGTGATTCCAATTTCTTTTGTACTCTTACTGACTTCAGGAAGGTAATTGCCCTCCCTAAGTGTAGAAAGACCACCTTAGTTGACAAGATTGTGATTATCTCTTATCTCTGAACTATTTTCATGTCATTTTGCTATTGATTCACTCCCCTAAATATCTAATCAATTTTACATGTTCAATTTAAGGTTCAGGAAGATAAAAAATTCTGTTTAATAAAAAGTAATAAATAAAAAATGAAAAGAAAATCAAAATTTAAGCAATTTTCGCGCAAGTCAAGACATATTGAGAAATTTGCGGATTTTAGGAAAAAAGATGACAATTTAGCGGAAATCAATGCGGAAATTCACGCCGCGACAAACATGCAGCCCTAACAATAACTCATTTCACTTTGTATGAAGAATGGGTACACAGTCAGTAAATTATTAACATAAACCAAAAATAAATTACCAGGTACTTCAACCATTCTATCCCTCAAAAACAAACGATTGTTGTGAAGTCCCAAAAACCTTCTAATATCCACATCCCAAAGATTTCTTTTTGGTTCACTATTCACAATCCATTCTGCAGTTATTTTACCAACACCGCCAGCAGCTTCCATTCCAGTCGCTTTCATGCCAGTGGCCACGAAATAGTTCTTCACCTAAAACACAAACTATTTTCATTTTATTTAAAATGAAGCAACTAAATCAAAGTTCTTTTACAGAATGGAAGCATTCGTTTCTAGTTTTATATGACTGACTCAATTCTGAGTTCACGTCTCCGTGGTCTTGTTATCCTGAACCTAACCCAGAAGACAAGGAAACTCCAGAATCAAGGATTGGGACGGACTTTTTGACAGAACTAACTCACATTTGTGATACATGGAAAGGAAAACCATTAAAATTTCCCATAGTTAGCTCAAGGGCAAGGGGATTCTAACCCATGATCCATCTACCACTGAGGATATTTTACAGCAGCTCTGTGGTCAGTGCGAGTAAGGAGCAGAATTTGTGTCAACCAACCACCGCTAGTATTCAAACCACCTAGAAGAGAAGAACACTCTATCCTTTGAGCCCCTGTGGCTAAAATAGTAGCATAGTAACTTTTCAATAAAAAATAATTTACAACTGCACCACTGTTCTTATTAATGAATAAGGGCTGTTTTACGCGACAATACTTGATACAATTTATAAAATAATAATATATATTTTATAATTTAAAAAGACAACATATATTTATTGCTGTGCAATATAGGTAAACACAAACAAAATAGGCTTGGGTTTGGCTTAAAGAATCTGATATTTGTATCTTTTCATTGTTTAATCTGTTTACTCATAATGTTTAGTTTGACAATCATAACCTCCTTTCTGCTGAAAATAAATATGTCTCATTATACATAATTAACTTGATGGTTAGGATTTATTTACAAGAGTGAATGATTCTAAAGATGAGCCTCTATAATCTAAAGATTTTGATCATCTAAAGTAGGCTCAATCCCAATAATTTCAAATAATTAAGGTTTTATCGCATAAATTTATCTTAGAAAATGCTGCTATCAAATTAAAATTTTGAAAACTAATGAGCATAAACCAAAATTATTTAAACTTTTCTCATAAACAACAGCTTTTTAAAATATTAAAATTTAGATAAGAAAATTATTATAATGGCGGTAAATTATTATAATGGTTGTGTTAAATTATTTAAATTATTATAATGGCAAAATTATTATAATGGTTGTGTTAAACTACTTTTTAGTTGTAAATTCAGCGTGGAAGCACCCACCAGATCATGATTGGTATGACGCCAAATGCCCCGGATCATCCTTGCAGTGCACTTGTCCTAGATTTGCTCAAACAGCTTTCTCAAGACTTAGGACCGGCCATATTAAATGTTTGACCTTCAGAGCGAAAGAAAAGACTTATGCCTCCTGTCATTGATCGGCCATCGCTTCTCCATCTCATCTTTTGGATTGCATTGGTGCCTCTGTGAGGCAGCTGATTAGTGATGGAGAGATTGTCTATGACTTGCTGATGCGACATGATCTTCTGGACTTGGTCTAGGGCTCTAGACCAAGGGGATAAGTAACAACAACAACTTTTTAATTATTTCTGTGATACAAACTCATTACTCATAGGTTCAATATTTATTTGTTTGATTATTAATATTATTTTTGCAAGCACCAACTTTCTTGACAGAATCAAAGTGTAATTCTCTTAGGAAACTTTTAGCTCACAGTACTAAGAGAAACTAGTTAGTTCCAGTGGCTTTCAAAAAAAGCGGCACATTTGAATGAGACTAAGGGTGCCATGAAATGTTAATGATTTCAAAATTAGTGATAAACCTTAATAAAAGTCTGTTGAAGAAAAAAAAACATCTTAAAGTTGGTGGAGTTTTGGATATATAAGATTAGTACCCAAAGTGAAAGAGCTACAGTAAGTGATGCATATGCAAAATTAAATTTTAAAGAGCAAATATTGCTTGAAAATATATAAATATCAGAAAAGAAATGAGAGTAGCTACTTTAATACAGGATTTGAAGAGTTAACTAATGAGTAGTAAATTCACCCATCGGCCAATTTATACTCATATTTTCGCTTGTATCATTAGTATTTAGAGTATTATCATTAGTACCTTCTTATTAATTACAATTTAAATATTTCAATAGACTATAAATAGTGCTTGCATTAACTATGTTTATATTTTCAGCATGGCTTCTGTTTCATAGTCTTATATACATGAAACATATATATAGTATGTAATATATACTATACTGCAGACCAATATTATATAACTGAGGGCCATATGACAGTTTTAAATCTTGTAAAAGAGTTGCAAATTAAAAAAAACTTGAGAATACCAAAGCTAGTCAATGAAAACAGGATATTAACTAAAACAAAGAAATAAACATCCACCTTTTTTTTACCCACTGCTTAATAACAATACCAATGAATGTTTGTTAAAAATAGATAAACTAACAAATAAACTTAAACAGACTAAATAAAATCTATTCGCCCCTGCTTTGAAGAATATTTAATTCTTTTAACAATTATTTATGAACTTAGAACATTTTTGTAAGATATTCCATACATTTTTAAACATTTAAAAACCGAAATTGAAGAAATGTTTGAAACAGTAAGGATGATATGTACCTCAGGTGCCTCACCTAACAGTAGCTTACAGTCAGGAGAGAAGCTTTCAGGAGCATTACACAAATTATCAACTGTGACTTTTCCTAGAGAAGGTATTCTAAATAGCATTTGCTCTAAAAGTGTATCTGAAAATAATGAAAATAACAACTATTAAACAGTGCTAACTGGCTCATTTCATTTAATATATATCAAAGTTTATTTGTGATGTGATAGAAAATTAATAATATGATTTATTTATTTTAATAAAAAGTTAAACATAAACCAATAAGTTTTATTATAAAAATCATTTACATTTCAAAAAATATTTGGCATATTTTATATGTATAAATGATTTTATAATGATTGTGAATGTAATTGTATAATCCTAATTATTGTTATTTAAAAATGTCGATGACCGGTTTTTACAATGGTTGTAAATAGGTAACTTTTAGTAAGTAAGTAACTTTTTGAAATAACTTTTAGAAACATGCAAACACCTGATAAGCATTTAAATCATTACAGAAATAATTGCTAATTTATTAACTACTGCTTACAAAAATTACAATCATACTTTTGAAGCAATATGAAAAAACGGAAGTAAGTACAAAATATTCTAAGCATAACCAGCCATATTATAGTAATAATATTTAGGAAAAAGATCTTCTCTAAATTTAAACTGCTTTAAAATAGAGTAGTCAAACAAAACTTACAAAATTGGTCCCAATCTTCTGGCAGAGATTTAAAAGCAGTAGGGGACTCCATTTCTTTGAGATCTAAAGGTTTAGATATTGGTTCAAAACCTCCAGCTAAATAACAGCCATCTTTTTCTCTTATATAAAAATATCCATCATAATCTCGGATCACTAGGAAAGTTTTTACAAAATAATGCAAACAAGCATAAGCAAAAGACAATTTAATTCAACAATTTTAAAATTTTCTCCGAGAAAAAAAAATGACAATACATAATTTCATCAAAATTAAAAATTATTCAATAAAAAGATCCTCACAGAGGTGATTCCAGAGAATGAGTTTATGATTCAATTAAATCTATTGTACTTTTGTTCAGTTTTTATGGCAACTTCATTCTTAAATAAATCCTAAATCCAAAAATATTATTTTTTGACAATAACTATGATTGCTTTAGAATTATAAAAACTCATTTTTAGTCATTATTTTAATATCATGCATATGACTGAACACAGTGTTACAGAAAATTTATAATAAAAATTAATATTGCTCATTTAAAGGAAATATAACTTATTTAGGGTTTAAAAATTAACAAAAAAAAAACAATAACTAAACATATTTATCACAAAATCTTGCATAATAAGGTAATATCATATGATTAATTTATAATGTAATAAAGAAACAAAACTTTTATTTCTTAAACTTTAATTTCGAAAAATAATCAAAATCAAAATAATAACAAAGAATTATCGTAAGAAAGGACGACAAATATTAAAAGTAAATAATGTTAAATGGAAATAAATAAATTATTTACAGGACTATACCAATGAATCATTTATTAATTTTATCTAATTACATGACAGCGAAAGATTTCTAGATGATCTTTGTAATTTAATAATCTTATCATAAAATTTTCTGTCCAATGAGAATGCACAAAACAGTAAGGTGACAGTTATCGTTTTACGATATAGTGAAAATTGAGATATAATTATATGACATTGAAAAATTTTTTAAAAAAATAGCGAAAAAACTGATAAAAAAAATAATACGGCTACACACCGGGCATCATGGGATCAATACCATCCACAGGCATAGTGCGAAGATAATGATGCTCACATGGATACAAGGGCACTTTTACTCTTGGATAACTCAGGCGCCCAATATGATTGGCCCACTAGAATAAAAGATAAACAATGTATTAAAATATGAGAGAAATAAACTTTGGGGTAAGAGATCCTAATGTTTAAATATAGATAACACATTCCGGAACAAATTTCTGACTTACATGTCCTGCACTGTTCACAAAAATTTCACAATTTATAAGCCCTTTATTGGTTTCTACAGCCTTTATTTGATGTTTATCATCAGTTATGACTTTTAAAACAGAGCAATTTTCAATAATTGAGACTCCTGTTAATGAAATAAGATATCTATAACATGAAAACATTATTTAAATGAGTAATACTACATGTTTAACCCTCAATGCATCTAGGTATATGCACATGAAATTTTCCTGACCATGTTCTAATTTTTCAATGCAGGAACGCAATCAGGTTGAATGCATAAAATTCTGAGTTAAACATTTAGAGATTTTTTTTTTAAACAAGACATTCCTACAAAAATACTTTAGCCTTAAATTTTTAACAAAAGTAAACATAAGTTATAACAAATGAAGTACAGAAGTGTTTATCAATAAACTTCTGATAAGAATTAACAGAAATTTTTTTTTTCTTCATCCTTACAATATTTAAATACATTTTAGATATTAACAACATTAACATATTTTAAGATATTAATATTTAACATAAATAGAGAAAGAAATTTTAAAATATTTTTGAATTAAATACTTCAAGTTTTGCACACTTTTATATAATTAAACTATAGCAGGTTACCAACATTATCTAACGAAGAATTATATTTATTATTTTTATACTGTATATAACTTACTAGAATATTAAACTTTTCAAAAAATTCATAAACTACAATTGGTCAAACATGCATTGGTCAAGGAGATTTTCTTTTATATAAAAACTAAATATTGAAAGATTTGAATCTTCTTACATCCTGAATTAGAACCTTTACATTTATCCATATTATAAACATAACATTGATTATTAAACTATTTTTACCTATAAAATCCGAAAATTGAGTGCTTTTTAAAAATAACAAAACATTCCTTTTAACAGAAGTGTTAGTCCTAATGGTTAAACCAAACTGAATTAATAAATATGAAAAGACAGATCATAAGAAACAATCAAGTGAAAAAAAAATTTCATTTATAATACTTCTTAATAAAGGAACTCGGAACATTGCAATGATAAAAATTATACAAAAAAAATGACTTTTTTTATTTTTCAAATAAATACCCTTCCTTAAAAACTTAAAAAAAAAATTTTGTAATAGAGGTAGTACTTAATTTGCGTCACACTTAGAGCTGCAGAATGGGCTATTGGCAACGGCCAGGGAACATTTCCAGAATGATCCGAAAAAGCACAATGACAATTTCAATTCTCTTAAGAGGAGGATGGCTCACATGCTTTGACCTGATAATGAATTTTTTCAATACATCCTTAACTGTTCTACAGTAAAATGCTGGACCAGCACACAAAGTCGAGCATTTTACTGTAGAACAGTTTAATGAAGACCAAGAACATGCACTCTCAGTCCCTAAGCAGGCTAATTAAAGTGGTGAGCCACTTGCTCGCTGGCTGCAGCCAGTGATGCTTGACTTTGTTGCTCTACTGGGAACCGTATCTTAACCATCAGTCCACTGCAGGACACTTTTTTAATTTAAGTAATCATAATTGCAAAATTGATAGAATATGCTGATTTTTAACAATAAGTCTTTTGCAAATATACAACCTCGACGAGCAGCTTCCGAGGCTAGCGTCAACATGGCTTCATAAGGGTCACCAACTCCATCACCAGGAATCCACAAAGCACCCTAGAAAAATATAGAATTGCACAAGAATTTGTAGATTCAAAAGCATAGAAAAGATGAATTAACATAAATAATGAAAAATATACACACACAAAATTAATGAAATATAATAATATTAATATAGTGTGTGTTTATAAAGTTGCTCTAGTTTATTATCTAGTTCAGTCCATTCTTATTACATCTAGTCTAATCTGTTCTTATTACATGAAATTTAAAATGTTTATATAATTTCTTTTTAATCCATTAAATTTATACAGCTCTAATTTTACCAATAGAGAATACCTTTATTTGCATACATAAAAAATATAAATTAGATAAAAAAGCTATTAACAGTTTCTAGATAAAAAAGTATTTTCTAAAATATAACAAGTACCAAGCATTACTTCATAAAAGCATTCATTTTGATCGGCTTTTAAACACAAAGCAAAAACTGAAAATCATTTTTATTTTAAATGCAATAAAAGAGATATGAAGAGTTGCTTACATGCAAGAATATTATACAGAGTTTCAAGAACAAAAAATCTAATCCTCCCGCATACTTATGCACAATTGCACCTACTAATTTCATTGTTTTACATAAACATTTTTGTATTCAAATAGACAAAAAAATAATAATAAATTAAAAACATTTGCATCTCATCATTTTTTAAATTCAAATATGAATTTTCCTTATATAATTTAACCGAATTTTTTCCTTACACTATTTAAATAATTCCACCACACATTAATGTACCGTTGCACCTTTTTACTTTAACTTTTTTTTGCATTTAAATTGACAAGAAAAAAATTAATTAAACACATTTGCATTTCATAATTTTTTAAACTTTATAATATGAAATTTTCCTTACATAACTTAACAGAAACATCACGAATGATATAAGTAGGATAAAAACCTTACATAAACATTTTACAAAAACTATTGAGTTGGTTTTTAAAAGTTCTAGCACAGTTAGTAATTCCTAATTTATAATTAATAATTTTCAAAAGTTAAAGCAGTGTTCTCACTAGCTTTGGGCTAATTTTAGCACTTCAGCTGCTTAATAAATAAAAAAAACATTAGCAAAAAAAAATATATTAATTGGCAAATTTTAGCATTTATTTTGTTGTCATATGAACACAATTTACCACAATGGCAATCAGCAATGGCTTTCATGTCCACCTCAAAATAAATCATAACAAACATATTAAAACTTTAAGTCCAAATAAAAGTTTGAAAAACCTAATGTTAATATTTTTTTGTCCCTTGGAAAAGTCTCAGAAATATTTTTTTATAAGTAATTATAACACACCACCTAACGATGTATTAAGATCAGGTAGTATTTTTTTTTAGTATTTTTTTTTCAGAATTCAATTTTTATAGTATTTTTAATATTTTAAACAGTATATTGGGCAGAAACAGTAAGGTATGTTTAATATTTTGCAGAATTGATAGGTTCTATAAATATATATCAGAAAACAAATTTATTTAGCTCCCTGTGTTAATTTAATTATATTCTTTCTTAGAAACTATGACCAACAGAGATTTTCAGTGATACTTAATTTAAAAGTGAGGTGCTCTTTGGAAGGCTCTTTTAATGAAAGCTGGGTACAAAAATAAATTTATATAATGTGAATAATACGCAGTTAAAACTTTTAAAAACATGCACTTTACCTTAAGCATTTCAGTACTTATTATCGGACAATGTTTTTGAGCTTCCTCTGGAGTCAACAAATGGCACTCAATATTTCGAGCTCTAAAAATACATCATATATATATCTATTAACAAAAAATATAAAAATTTAGAATGTACAAATGTGTGATTCTGCAAAAAAAAAAAATGGAAATAAATTTTTATTAGTACATAAATTATGCTTTTGAGATACCTATAAGTTTTTCTCTTTAATATTTAACTAATTTTTGAACATATTTGTTCTGAACAACACTTTGAAATTTTAATGCTAAAATATCAAAATTTATTGAAAAAAATTTTTTTTATAAATAATTATAAGTATTATAATTATAAGTATTACTTTCATTCTCGTTTTTTTTTTTTTTTTTTTTTTTTTTTTTTTTTTTTTTTTTTTTTTTTTNAAAAAAAAATTTCATTTTCAGCTAAAAATGAGTTTTTGGCTCTGTAAGAAGATTATGTTGAATAATTCTTCTCCATAAACTTTAAACCAAAACATTTGCTAAGGGCACAAAATTATTAAATAAGTAATGTAATTCAGATAACATTTTCAAGAGTAATTAGATTACTCCAGGAAATTAATAGCTGCACCTTATATTTTGAAAATAGTCGCTTCAAGCATTTAGTGAACCTTTTCCGTATATTTTATTCATATTAGTTACACTGTACATTGCAAATTTAATAACACTACACACAAAAAAAGTGTTACTCACACAGCAGATGCAGCAATGTGACGAAAATAAATCATACGATCAGCTGTTCTAGCCAAAGATAAACTTCCACAGCTTTTGAAACCTGTAAGTATTAGTTGTTTTCTCTAAAACACATGATGCCAAAGAACTGCATATTAATTATGAAAAGTAAGAAAAAAAAAGTTATCTGAATGAAATCAACAATTGTGTGCATAGTTTTTTTAAAAAAAAAAAAAAAAAACTTTAGCCATCATAAAATTTGAATAAGAAGAAAAATAAAACAAACCAGTTTTAAGTCCTTCTGAAGCGAGTGATTTATAAAGATCAATACTGTATTGGCATAACCTAGTTTCAATAGCAGTTGGCTTAATCTGTCCTAGTAGCCCAGCACCAAATTTTGCAGTTCCACCAGTTAACCTTAAGAAAAATAAAGATTATAAGGAAAGTTGCATAAATAATATTTGTTAAGTTTTATTATATTCATAAAAGTTTTTATTGTACTATTCTATGAAGAAATATTATTCTCAATAAATAAAACCCATGTTATCTCTGAGATCGCTAGCCTTAAAAAGCTAAAGTTTGGAATTCAGTTATTAGTTTTGAAAAGTGTAGCCCTTTACAGTATGGCGGTCTCATTTTTTCAGAATTTTCAATACTAATAACTGGTATACTAGCATACTTGATATATAAGTCTGATGATTAGTCAACTTACCTTGGCAACTTCGGGGGGATACTTCCATATCATGATTTGTTGCGCCAACTACTAAATAGAGTGCCAAGGTGCCAAATAGATTTTAAACTTGCAATTTTTCTTCAAAAATAAAAAAAGCATGCAGCTGTTTGCCGTGGGGTTGCTACATGTTATACATTTCAAATTTATCTCTTTCTGTGATGTTTTTAAAATTTTTTTTAGTTCCTCGTGGTCCTCTGTTTGGAAGTTGTCCAGACTTGGCGATTATTCTGCCACAGATCACGATACAGAAACCTTACCCCTTGCGGGCGCAGCGGCCCGCAAGAAACTAAAAAAAATAAATACTACAAAAAGGGACTAAACTCGAACAAACTCTTAGACACTCCGGACAAACAACTACATATTTTTAAAAAAAAATTAGCTAGTTTAAAATCTATTTGGTACCTTGGCGATTGTAGTTGGCGCGACAAATCATGATACAGTAATATCCCGAAGCCTGTTTACATCAACACATCGGTCCTCATCAAAGGACCTATGTATGCAAAAAAGTTTTTTTAAATAACATAAGAGTTTGTTCATATATGACTATTTAGTTATGTCCTTCTTGTACACAAAATTACTAAATAATAATTTTATTTTGACAACAATCGGGCAGTGACACGCGAGAAAGTAAAAGAAACATCACGGAACAGGGGACCATCTTGAAGGAAATAACCAACAGCCATCCCAAGGAAAACCATTACTTTCACAATATATATTCCACCCTCGGAGATATTTCCATATTGTGATCTGTCGCGCCAACTACAATCGCCAAGGTGACAAATAGATTTTAAATTTGCAAAGGTTTTTTCAAAAAAATATGTAGATGTTTGCCCGGGGGTGGCTATGAGTTATACCTTTCGAGTTAGTCCCCTTCTGTGGTGTTTTTTTTTTTTTTTTTTTTTTTNTTTTTTTTTTTTTTTTTTTAGTTTCTCACGGCCACTGCCCGAAAGTTTCCAGACTTGGCGATTATTCTGCCGCAGATCGCGATACGGAAAAAAAAATTTTGATGGTAGTTGGCACTAACTCGTCCGATGTGAAAATATCTCTTAACTCATCTCTACTATCCATATTTTAAGCAACAAACATCTCAATACGAAATTTTAGTTATCAAACTTACAATCCCTGTTCTAGAAGCACCACATCTTTCCAGCCATAATCTTTGGCTAGATGGTACGCAACAGAACATCCAACAACCCCTCCGCCACAAATAACAACCTGTGCTTCTTTTGGGATGTCATTAGAGCAGAAGTCATCAACATTCACTTCAGGTAAAATGGACCATGAACTTTTCGAATTACTAATGTTCTTTAAACCATAATTCTTCAACACAATATACTTATGGTAATTTAACAAATGCTTGGACATTCGAACGGAGTACAAACTCATGATATAGGTAAATTAAAAGAACACTGAATAATAAAATATATATATATGATATCTAAAAAACCCAAAAGGCATCAAAAGCAAATGACTGAATTAATGCAGCGATTTGAGACAACATAATATATTTGAAAGCATTGACTACGCAAATTTAAAATTCACTAATACTTTTAATCTAAGAAGTTTCGATTTAAAAATAAATAAACAAATGATGATACGCAGTTGCAGTTAAAATCAAAAGCAAATGACTGAAATATTTGTCTTTAACTGTTACTGAATGAAATTACTGATAAATTCACTGGTTTAAATTTAAATTTAATAATTATCAAAATTAAAAATACTAATTTAAATTAAAAAATTACATTTTTTAAAAATATTCAAACCGAAACTAAAAAGGTAAATTCAGACTTGTATTGAGCCAGCACTGCAATTGCGTTTTACTTGCGCATGAATGTGTGCGCGCATAGTGCATATTTCCCTACTCAAAATTTAAGATAGATAGGTTTTCCTGCTTTCAGTTCCGCCTTCTTCAGTAGTAATTCGTTTGATTTCTAAAGCATTTTAGTTTTTTTACTTGGCTTAAATATCACATTTCTGACTCTGACTCAGTGAAAGAACGCGTTTCCTACGCGGGTAAATATATTTCACTAATTCGCGAACGCAACGACTTGTGGGAGCGTTGTTATTTGAGGCGAATGACTTCTAGCAGAGCAACACGTTCAGTCGCTTATTTACTAAATGTTTCACTAATTTTTTTTTTCTTTTTCTTTTCCTTTTTTTAAAAAAATTGATATTCTTTCTCATGCAGGCGAAAACGAAATAGAATCTCTTTAAAAAAAGAAGGAACAGTTAAAATCATTAGGAAAATATTATAACTAAACAGAAAAATAATATGTAGGGGAGAGGGGGGTACATGTGAACAAATTTTTTTATTTCTTTATTTTTCAAAAAATATCATCAATTTCTCACATTAAAGAAGTCTATATGTTTAAATAGTCTTTTCTTTGTCTAATGGAATTTTTTGAGATTTTTCAATAAAATATTTCTTCAGAAAAATGACTTCAATTGTTTGAAGTGTCGTTTCATCGCTTTAATACAAGACATCTTATTCAGAAGGTTAGTAAGTAAGTATTTATTCATCGTCGCTGTTCTATCTTTTTCCTGTAGCTGTTGCCATCCAACATATAATAAAATATTTATAATCATCTCATTAATCGATTCAAGAATCGATTAATAATAATACTACATGTTCACATGTGCCCCTATTGGGGGCACATATGAACATGCCTGGGGCATATATGATCAAGATTAAAAACACAAAGCAATCATCATATTTCAAAGAAAAAATCTTTAGTATAACAGATATACAAGTAGATACGCATTATACTGAAGGGGTTGTAGCTTACTATGTGAATTTAAATTTGTACAACAGTACTGTCAATAAGAAAAATTTTTTTTAGCTGTACAATAATTTTTCCGCTGTTGGATTTTTCTCAATTTCATGTTCCTCAGGAGTTGCAATGGGCATTTTTCTTTCTTCTCTAATACTCTGTCACGATTTTTTCTCTCCATTTTTTCCATCTTTTCATTTGTAGCTTTAGCAATTCTATCTTTCTCAGGTGTATCAGTTAATAAGCGTGATGCGCGATNAAAAAAAAAAAAAAAAAAAAAAAAAAAAAAAAAAAAAAAAAAAAAAAAAATAACAAATTAATTATGGAAAATTAAATAATAATAATTTAAATGCATGCATATTCTTTAAACTTATAATATTATGAGGATAATAATTTTAATACTATGTAGGGGCACATGTGAATTGTTCACATCTGCCCCAGATGTTTTGTTCACAAGTGCCCCATCATCCTTCTTAAACCTAACTTGAAAAATACAGAATTTTTAATTGAGTAAAAAATAAAAAATTTTTTTCATAAACTTACCTGAATGTTCATATAATGGTCTGCAATAGTTAATTTTAGTTTATTAGTTGATTTATACTATGCTTTCACTTGGAGTAGCGAGTGATTATAATATATACAACACCAGCTGATACGAAGAAATTGTCAGAATCGAACAACAAAATGTCTCATTGTTCTGAAAGTTTTGCAGAGAGGTAGAACTAGTACTTCCATCAATTGAAAATTTTTCGAGATTTTTTATTTCAAATCATATTGGTAAAACATGCAATGTTCCCATGTGCCCCCTGTTCCCATGTGCCCCTCTCTCCCCTATCTATATTCTTATGAGAGAGAAATCCGAATCCTTGAGAAATTACTTTACTAAATTTATAATTATCTAATATGACGTCTGTTTGAACAGCCCATAATTTTCCGAATGAAATTACTTCGAACATTAAGATATGTAAAGTATACAGAAACATATAAATTTATATAATATGTTTTTGTAAAAAGAAAGTTTTTGTGACAACAATATTTATCGCAAAATTGAAATTTTCAGTAAAAAAAGGAAATTTTTTGTCATACATAAAACCAAAAATTTTCGGTTTTGAAATTTTTTGATTTAACAGTTCTGAGATCATTTGTCATTTTAAGTTTCCACAAAACAAAATCAATTTCATATTCTTATTCTGCTTGTAAAAAGTAGCTATTTTAGTTTTTTTTTATATTTTAAGTTCCTTCCTTTTAGTTTTGTGTCTCTAATTTTGTTGATGTTGGAAGATGGTCGAAATTTCTGTAGTCGATAAAATAGAGATAAATTTTATCTAAAACTTATAATGTCATCAAATACAGAGTTCCAAATGAAGTTTGAGTCGGGACTGAATTCTAGCTATTTAGAATATCGATTGGCAATAAATTCTATTTTGAAAATGAATTCTGCTTTGTAGATACTGAGAAATGATTGAAACTTGTTGTATTGAAAAGACAGAACTCTATTTCATATTTATACACTCTAGCAAGTCGAAATGCCGTTTACAAAATGGTAGAAATTTCGGTTGACGATAAATTCTACTTGACAAAAATATCGTTATAAAATGTGCCTTGAACCATCAAGAAACAATGAAAACATATAGCAATCAAAAACAGAACTCCAGTTAAAATTAAAGTATTCTAGCTTGTTGAAAAGTGGTCGGAATTTTAATTGACTGTTGGGCAAAATTAGAAAATTTTACTTCTGGACATAGACCAGTTGTAGCGTTTTTACCAGTGGCCACATTTTAACACATCCGGCCATTTTTTAAAAATTGAAAATTTTAATTATTAAAAATATGTTATATTAACAATGACAACTTTTGAAACATTTCTTAAAATGTAGTAAACATTACATGTCTCCTTTCTAACATTAACAAAAATTTAAGAAGCAGATTTTAAATAAAGTAAATTTCAGAATGCAATATATTCATAACATTCACATATTTATCAACAAAAAAAAGTTTTTAAAATTAAATAGTATTAATGAAGTGCAGATAAGGAGTAATTTCGACTGAAAGAGTAGCGACTGACGGACAATTTATTAATTTTCATTTAGCCAGTGGTTACGGTTAATTTCGCCCTCTACTATTTAAGTGACAAAATGGAAATCGAAAGGTCGGAATAGCCTGGTTGGTAGGGCACTGGATCCATGTCCAAGTGTTCGTGGATTTGATCCCAGCCGGCCGACGACTCCCCGTGTAGTAAATGATGACTGGTGCACGTTAAATCTGTCGAGTCACACAGTCCTCCCTGTTCCCATAACAAATTAATACCTTTGGAGGTACTGAACCAGGAGTTTCCCTGTCTTCTGGATTGGTTAAAAATTACAAGGCTACGGAGTTGAACATTAGTAGTCGTGAACCCAAAAATTGGGTCGGCTGTTCAACGACGGATATAAAAAAGACGAACATGGAGTTCCAGTTGAGATTCGAGTGCTCTAACTGGTTGATAAAGGGTCGACATTTTGATTGCAAGGTTCCCTCACATGAACGGAAGCGAAAGCAATAAAAACAGTGTAAAATTATGAAAAACATGGTAAAACAATATAAATAAGTAACGAACGTAAAAACATAATTTAATTATGAATGAAAAAAAGAACATATATCATATTTAAGTTTGATATATTCTTATAAATTAGTTGATACTCTAGAACTATTCGGAATAAAAATTCATTATGCTTACTATTAATAATAATAAACTCTTTTTTATTTTCACTTCCCTCGTCATTTCAAAGTTTCAACTTGCCATCTCAAAGTTTCAACTTAACATCAGTTTTTTTTTCTTTTTCTTAAATTTAGCTATCTTATTTTAAAAAAATCTATCAAAGTATACATCAGTGAGATTTGGTTAGTGATTTATTATCTTCGTGAGAACTTTGAACTAGTGGGAATTTGGTGGTAAAGTGATTTAGTTTGTTTAAGATTTATATTAGCAACGAGTAGATTATTTGAAGAGCTTAGTGGTTGAAGCGGGTAAGTGACACATTTTCAGAAGTATTTATTAATCAAAGAAAATAACGTCTAGCAATCAAGGAATAGAATGAAGGAAAATAACGTGAAGCAATCAAGGAATAGAATCAAAGAAAATAATGTGAAGCAATCAAGGAATAGAATCAAGGAAAACAACGTGAAGCAATCAAGGAATAGAATAAAGGAAAATAACGTGAAGCAATCAAGGAATAGAATCAAAGAAAATAACGTGAAGCAATCAAGGATAGAATCAAGGAAAACAACATGAAGTAATCAAGGAATAGAATAAAGGAAAATAACGTGAAGCAATCAAGGAACAGAATCAAAGAAAATAACGTGAAGCAATCAAGGATAGAATCAAGGAAAATAATGTGAAGCAATCAAGGAATAGAATCAAAGAAAATAACGTGAAGCAATCAAGGATGGAATCAAGGAAAACAACGTGAAGCAATCAAGGAATAGAATAAAGGAAAATAACGTGAACAACTTATAAAAATAATGCCATATAAACGGCATTAATATGGATATGTTTAATATAACAGAATTTATTTTTACTTTTACTTTAATTTCGAAATAACTAAACAACATTAATTTTGAGTATGCTTGTATGATTTTTATTTCAGATTAGGTAGGGGTAAATATAATAAGGTTCAATTTTACTTCATTCTTCTTAGCACTACGTTAGAGATTGGTCAAATAAATAAATAAAATTAAAAAAAAACTTTGGAATTCGGTCATTATAAGTCACCAAGATACAACAAATGAGTAAGGCAAACAATTTATATAAATTAAAAAAAATTTCTCCATAAAAAATAT